TTCATCCCAACTCTTCCAAATACGAATTCCCTTTCATCTCAATTCTTACAAATACTAATTCCCTTTCATCTCAATTCTTCCAAATACTAATTCCCTTTCAGCCCAATTCTTCCAAATATTAATTCCCTGTCATCTCAATTCTTCCAAATACTAATTCCCGTTCAGCCCAATTCTTCCAAATACTATATAATTCCCTTTCATTCCAATTCTTCCAAATCAAATTCCCTTTCATCATCAGGTCATCAGCTTTATTGGGGGGATGTGATCTCCAAAACCTCCAATCTCAAACCTTGTTGACCTTGAAGGGGGGGGCCGTTGATTAATCCTACGTCGACATTATGGAAGATGGCCATATTGCCTATTATAGAGGCCGGCCTATATAGATTCACCACCCAAAACCACGTAGACCCGGCAGCCCCGTGGAGCGTCTGGGCATCGGCGGTGGCGAAAACACCGCCGCCTCTCCGTGCAGAAGTGAATGGACATCGTGATGCAAAACGCTTCTCTTCATCCGTGATGGATGCGAATTGGTGAGGACTTGGGCGAGGTGATGTCGTATTTCACCCGCACCCTCCCTAAGAGCCTATGGCTCTATGAAGATTGGATTTCTTTATCCAGAGTCTACCCTCTGACTCACTAACATGGAAGTGGAAAATGGTCCCTTGGAAGACTACTTTCCTCTACCAACAAGGGGCTTTCCACTTCCATGTTAGTAAAACAGAGTCTATATGAACTCGCCAGAAGCAATCCATCCAATTGATTTTAACATCCTCCCATTGGGTCCGGTGGCCCTGGGGTTCTGGCGTGTAGCGTGCCATGAGGTTTTCTTCCAAAGGCCCGAAGTTGGACAGAACCTGCAGAAGAACACATCCACATGACACTTCTGAAACTTTGATAAAATGGCAGCTGCTCAGATGATCATGAAAAACTTCTAGTGATGCTAAAGAGTTGAATGGTCAACTATGTCAATGGTGTCAAAATATGCCCTGCATTGAGAAATGCCAACTCAACCATGATATCCTCAATAAAAAATGGTACAATACACACCCCAAGAGTCCAAACATGACCAGTTGTGGCACCACCAAAGTCGTCCACGCGACGGCAGGCTCCGCTCGGATGGGACGCCTGGGCAAGGGAGCCTCCGGGCATGTACTCCAAGTACATCTGAAGGTGATTGTCAGCCCAATGGCAGCCATAATATGACACGATGTGCGGGTGCCTCGGGCGGCAGGGCAGTCTTCCAAGAACCACCAGAACCACACGTCCAGGACGCATCCGTGAAGGAAAAAACATGATCTGAATGGAGACTTCCGGCGGAGGCTTTTCAAAAATGTTCCAAACCGCTGGGCGCCAGTAGCCGACTAGACAGTTCAAGTAATTGATTTATAGACAGCACCCTACAGGTCCCCAAGACCAAGAAAAACCTGGTCCTTTACCTCGTTGAGTAGCGTTTTTGCAGAAATGTCAATCTCCTATTACCCAACCTGATATGCCGCACGAACAAGGCACCGCAAGCTCCGCATGAGGTCGATCTCATTCTCCAGCTGCACCTGGCGCAGTGTGATACAGGGCGAAGGTTGCGGCGGAAGAAAGGTTAACAACCGGGCATAGATCTCCTTGATTCATTTATAACTCAATGAATATCAATGAATAGATTCATTTCTCTGATTTCTTTGGACCCTTCCGGAAAGCATCAGTATACTACCGCAACACATTCATCAGTTCTCTTCCGGTTTATATAAGCCCATGCCACATCAGTCTGGACCCATTCCCCAACCAACTGCGCCAAACAACCAACTGCCGACGAAACAAAGCTCAGTCTGCTCGGGACTGTTGTTGAGCCTTGAGCTTCTCATCTGGCTGGTGTTGCACATCAATGTACACCTCCTGCGGCGAAACGAAGCGTGTCTCTGACATTTGACGCTGCGCGGGGCAGGCAAAAAACCGCTGCGTGGATGGAGCGATGCCGCGGCCGACCAGGGATCTTGAGACATAGAGGAACAAGGTCCCCTCCAAAACAGATCTTCCACAGGTCAATGACATCTTGGCTTCTGTCCTGGCATGTCAACCTTTGCCTTGAGTGCAACTGAGTCTGACCTGTGATATGCACGCCCGCCCAAGCGCTTGCGCGTGCGCATCGCGAGAACGTCGCCTCGTTCGTCTCCCCCAGTCTTCTCCGTGCTGAGTCCATCTCATTGACCCTAGGGATCCAGTCGTCCCTTCTCAGGTGATTGGAGACACCGCTATGTAGGTGCCAGGAGGGTCCAATCACCTGCTGAGAAGGGATGACTGGATCCCTATAGGGTCCATCGGGGTTTTCTGCGACCGCCATGGCTGGACCCAGTGGTGTGACCAGTCCTTCACGGCAATGACCATGCCGGTCTCCGGATGCATCGCCTTGAAGACGCTTCCGAAGGAGCCATGGCCGATGCTGTCGCCCCGCTGGAGGCACAAGGGGTCGAACTTCATCGCCGCCTCGGGCGACCGAGACCGGCCACGGCCGATATCGGTGAGCGCTTTTGTTGCGCCCGAGGTTTTCCCTCTACACCGATGTGTAGCCCGAAGCTGAAGCACCAATTGATTGGAATTGGCTGATGTGCGACGCCTCCCCCCAAACGTGGAAACGAAACACTTTCCAGCATTGCGCCTCCTTCAGACTCGGATCCAGTCGTACTGAACCGAAGGTCCGACTGGACCCTCCCTGGCACCGGCGGTGTCGAACCCAACCACCGTACCTGAGGTTCGGTACGACTGGATCCCTGAGAGCCTCCTCGTGATCCCCAAGCGTTACGTGTTCGGGATCCTCCCTCTCTCGAATCCATGTGTTGAACCATTCACCTATAAGGACCTGTTGTTCGGCCTGTGGAAGCGGCACAGCTGAACCAGCGGCAGTGTTGCCGCGCCACCACCCCAGCCCTTGCATCAGGGGTTTGGGCTACGTCAGGCTCCAACAGGTTCTGGGTTGAGTCTAACAACCAGTCGCTTCAGCGCTTTTTATGAGTTTATATACCGAGAGGGAGGAGTGTCCGGAGTGCATGTGATGGTCGCGAAGGAACTGGAAGGCGTGCCCTGATCCAAAGGCATAACTAATTGATTATAATTAGATGTCAACCCCCCCATATTGAAGAGGTTGACGGTTTTACAATCCATGTCTGGCGGAGGGTTTGCTTCATCCAGATGTTACCATGAAGTGCCTCTCCCATCATTTCGCCCAGCTGCTGCTTCAGCTGGAGTCTTCCCTGGTCCTTCTCCTGGGCCTTGCACCTGCAAACGAACGGCAGCGACGTGGGTCGATTCCTCAGCACAGCAACCAAAAAACACTCGTGCCTTCGGTGAGCCAAGGCATCTTGCACTGTTTGCATCCCTGATATGCCCGGTGTTTTTCTATATACTCTATATATCACCAGCCTATACTATATAGTATTTTTCAATGAGACGGTCAGGATTCGTTTGTTTGCTTGCACCTCTCTCTCTCTCTCTCTCACGGGCATGACTCGTCTTGAGCCATCTCACAGAGACGCACCACCTCTTTCTAGCCATTCCAAGGATTGCATATACACAATTGTACCAGCCGTTCCATGTCTGCTTATTGGAGGACAGGGGTAGCCATTATCCACGCACCGTCTTAAAACGTCTTAAAACCACCCCGATCTGGAATTTGTCTCCGCTTTACCTCTTCTCTCTTTTTCTTTCTGCCAAAGCAACACCATCCATGTCTCCCTCCCTCTCTCTCCCACCAACTCGTGTCGGAGAATGGATGCCGTCGCCTGGATCTGTGCGACGCCTTTGGCTCCTCGAGTGCAGGTCAAGGTCACTTCCTTCTCAAAGCCCGGAACCTTCACCGTGGGCTGTCGCTGCCCAGCCTGCGATAGACCGGCCAGAGGAGTGAACAAGCGGCCAAAAGCTTTCAGAAGAGCAAGGTGGGGACCCCTTCAGTTGATTTAAAACCTAGTATTAATATATACTTGTCCAAGAGTGTGAGGTGTCCTTGTTTTATTTGCTTTCCTGCCCCTCGTCTGCCGTCTGCTGCCCCCGTGCCGTCTGCTGCGCCGTGCATGCCGGCCAGTCCGGCACAAAGCAACCCCCGCCAATGGGGGCGGTAGGTGTGGCTTCCCTCGGCCTCTTTCAGGTAGCTTCGAACTTCCTCGGTCACGAAACGAGCACCGAAATCGAAAAGAATCGGAGAACTGTAGGGGCTTCCATTGGTGACCCCTTTGAAGGTGCTGGTATAGTCTTATAGGTGAACTCTTTTTCTTTGGATGCAGGCAAAGAGAAAAATCCTGGTCACAAACTCCAGGGGGGAACTCTTTTGAGCACTATCCACGGAGAAAAGACACATTATAGAGACATGGAAAACACACCACAACAACATTCCTTCCAAGCACGATGTAAGAAAAGTCGCGGGAGGAGAGGGGCCGATTGGGGGAGCCCCAAGTTGGGAGCCGGGAACAGGGCGAAGTGGAGACCTTGACCATCCACGACCATCCATGATTCCTTGTTCTAAGTTGCTTGATCAATGTCAGGAGGCAAAGCAAATGTCTGTCTACCAGGCTCTGTTGGAACTGATGGCAGGCTCCGTACATGACACCAAAAATGTCCGCACATCTATAACTGGAGGGGCTTTCACGGAATCGGGTACTGAACATGAAAAGGTTCCAAGAGATGAATCCTTGCAGGCACGCATACGGTAAAAAAGGATGAAACAAATTTTGTCATGTTGCGTGTCATGAGCCAACCAACAAATGTCATCGGACGTCCTGAAAAGGTATGTGATTCTAGGTTCATGTTGAGGTGCCCTGCAATCACTTCCTGGCATTAAAAGCAAGAGCAGCTGCATGCAAGGTTGGTGAACAAGGAATCTGTTTATCGTTGTTCATCGCGTCAGGGGATTAAAGCCGAATTATTCGGACTTTATCGAATTTGTTGTACCGCGCTGGAGGTCTTTAACCAAAGAACTGCATGTAAGCGCACCATTCTTCCTCGAGAAAATGCACCCAATGATCTCTCAAAAATTCTCAAGTCCTGTATGAGTCACGTCAACCTCAGCACTTCAATCTTGCATGAACGTTTCATTACGCAATGCTAGCTCCCCCCCACCAAAACTGTATCGCAGCCGCACCCTTCTGTTTCTCCCCATCAAGAAGTATCCGTCGTTTTCGCCCACCCTCACCCCCAAAGCCGCCCGTCACGCCCCGGTCCCAGCATGATGATCATGATGTTGATTTTATCAAAATGTGTCGACTGACAGGTTTTGGTCGATTTGACACAACAATTGAGACACTGGTCCCATAGGCCAAAGCCGCCAAACGAACACAATCCTCCCCGAAAAACCTGGACCCTGTCGACAGAACCTTTCACTGCCACGGCTCGCTTTCACTGGTGATGGCATCTGGCAATTCCACCCCAAGCTGTTGTAGTTGTGACCCCAGCTTCACCTGTGCGCGCGCGCGACACGAAGTCCGACTCGCGCTCTTCACCACCCACTGAATGGGCCCCGACCTATCGCCCCCTACATGGACATAGTCCCACCTTGAAGCAGCAAACCCATTCAACCAGACTCCCGACATGCGCCAGCTGTAGCTTTGATAACTTGATATGCGCCAGGACCGCAGTATCTAGTGGGAGAGTAGATGGCACGAGTTACCTCCATGTCGTTGTCTTTTTCCTGGTGGAATTCCATCCGTCGACAGACCTCTTTTGGGGTGCCGTCTGCGCCGTCTGAAACCACTCTGCTTCCACTGATCTGCCGGGCCACCGCCGCATGTGACTTCGGTGGCGCACTCGGCACACTGGGCCGGCGGCCTAGCGTCACGCCGCCGCCCGCCGCTGCACGAAGAGCCATGTTTCAAAGCCAAAGGAAACCCAAAGAAACTCTATAGTAGTATAGTCATGCCCTTGTCGTAATTAGCGATGCACTTGTGGGCCTAGTAGCTTCCATTAAAACCTGAATCCCATCTGCCAGGATCCTCATCAAACAGCCCTGACAAGACAGGTATGGCGGCGTCCACCGCCTCGCTCGGCCGCCTGTAGCTCCGCTTCGGCCAGCAGGGTCTTCAGCCTGGGACGCGGTGTGGGACTGAACACCTGCATGGGTGAAGGGCATATAGCTGGATATGAAAATCACACATCTATATCATGCAAAAGGGCTATATATTTGTAATTGCTTCATACATTTCATACTCTGGCCTGATACACTCAAATGCACAGGCTTCAGTAGGTGATAGTGAGGTTCAAATCAAATCTATATCATGCAAAAGGCACGGAGTTCAATATTTGCTCTTCACGGCCTATCCGATTACCAGTCTGTCCTGCCGGTACCAGGAAGATCCTGGTATGCTTCGGATCCTGGGTGATGACAGTGCGACCGACCGACTGACCGACTGCGCAAAAAAAACGAGCATCCCAGGGTCGCTCCCGCGCAAAGAGTCTGAAGACCAGCAACTCGCTCTTCTCCACAATGCTGCCGGGCACTTTGAACCCCAACCTTGGCTGGAGCGATGTGGGAAGTGATGTGGAAGCTGCCCATCACCGCGTTCTGCTGAAAGGTGCACTTAGCTTCAATCAAAGGACACAAAAACACACAACATCTAATGGACTCAAGACATGATGTTTGTTCTTCGGACAAGAGCAACGAAAAACACAAGAGAGAAAGAGAAAGAACGGAGAAGAAACAACTATAGACTTAAGACTCAAGACAAAGAAAAGAAGAAGAGAGAGAGAGAGAGAAACACATCATAGCAGTTCATAGCAGTTCAAAAGAAATTATATCGAGTCACATGCAGTAATATACATTTATAATTAAACAAGAAGCAACATAGTAGTCTACATTTAATGTCTACAGGAGAGAGCCTACGGGGGAGAGAGAGAGAGAGAGAGACTGTTTGCTCAAAGGGAGGCCTTGCCGCCAAGCCACTGCCGCAGCCGACGCTTCATCTCCGGCACCGAGCTGCTGGCGGTCGGCGACGGGTCATCCACACCTGGGAGACGACTCGACGTCCGTGGGGCGTCGGCGTGGCAGTGTTTCGGGTCCTTGGCGTTAAATTCTCAAACGGTTTTGTAGTAACAAGTGCATCGCTACTAGTAACAAGTGCCTTACTAGTAGTAACAAGAAGCTATTAGGAACAAGTGCATCGCTACTAGTAACAAGTGCCTTACTAGTAGTAACAAGAAGCTATTAGGAACAAGTGCATCGCTACTAGTAACAAGTGCCTTACTAGTAGTAACAAGAAGCTATTAGGAACAAGTGCATCGCTACTAGTAACAAGTGCCTTACTAGTAGTAACAAGCAGCTATTAGGAACAAGTGCATCGCTACTAGTAACAAGTGCCTTACTAGTAGTAACAAGAAGCTATTAGGAACAAGTGCATCGCTACTAGTAACAAGTGCCTTACTAGTAGTAACAAGAAGCTATTAGGAACAAGTGCATCGCTACTAGTAACTTGAGGCCAGAGGGGGTGAACGAAAGCTAGCCGGGCTTCCGGTGGTCTGCTGCTGGTGCTGCTGCTGCTGGTGCTGCTGCTGCCGCTGCTGCGCTGGGCGCTGCTGCGCTGGGTGCTCTGCAGGCGCCGGGTCGTCTGCTGCTGCTGCTGCTGCTGGCGCTGGGTGGTCTGCTGCGGCTGCTGCTGCCGCGGCGTTGGGTATGCTGCTGCTGCTGCTGCCGCCGCTGGGTGGTCTGCTGCTGCTGCTGGTGCTGCTGCTGCTGCTGCCGCTGCTGCGCTGGGCGCTGCAGATGCTTGGTGTGCTGCAGCTGCTTGGTGGTCCCGCTCACCGCGCGCAGGGGGGAGTCGAACCGCGGGGGGGGGGGGGGGC